TTTTTTTTGAGCTTTTAAATTTTTTTCTTTTAAAAAATGTTTAATTTTTTTCTTTTAATTATTATTTTTTGAATATATTTTATTTTGATATGTATTATTATTGTTTATTTTTTAATTATTATTTTCTGCAGTTGCTATACATTTAACACATGTTTAACAAAAAATAATAAATATCAAAATAAAAATTATTTTAAAAGAAAAAACCTTTGAATGTTTAAAAAGAAAAAATTCTAATTTTTAAAAAGAAAAAAATTATGAAATTTTTAAAAAGAAAACAAAAAATAAAATAAAAAAAATTTTAAATAAAACATTAAAAAAATGTATTTTACCTAAGAAACGTACTAGATATTTTTAATAAAATGAAATTTCTAAATTTAAAAGTTTTGCTTCTCTATACATTAAGGCAGGGATCGTAATAATTATTTAAATAATTTAAATCAGAATGTAATATTTTTTTATGATTTTCATTTTTTCGTTTAAAAATAATAATTGTTATTGAGTTCAATCATTAATAATGATTAATTTGTGATTTTAATTTTTTCACACAGGTATACCTAATAATAATTATTTATTTATAAAATTTAAAAGGCAACAAACTGAATTTTTGATCTGAAAATTTTGAGACTTATGCCATTTATTAAGGTCTCGCTACTCCGAAAAGGCTACATTGGAAATGACGAGTTTTGTGAAAAATCATTATTATCTTTGAGCGAAAAAATAAAAATCATAAAATAATCATAATTTTTGATCGAAAAAATAAGAATCAAGTATATATATTTTTTTTAATTGTTTAAAATCGAAAAATAAAAATCATTGTAAACTACAGTAGGACATACGAATATATTTATGTACATAAATATGCGAGTAATTATAGTGAAAGTTGTTGATTTTTGTGGCCAAAATTTATGAAATAATAATTATTTTCCGTCCCTGCATTCAGGAGGCCATCTGCTGTTCAAACTTTTTACATTTTCTAGTTTTATATTTTTTAAAAGCCAATATTTAAAATGTTTTTTAATTTTTAAACTCAGTATTTGATGTAATTAATCTTTTACTTTATTTGCAGCATTTAAGCTGCTTAGAGAGCTTTTTGAGAACGTCCTTAAGCTCAGCAAATCTATAAGCGTCACATATATTTTTTTACTCTCATTTATATTTTATAAATTTTAATTTATTTTCATTTATTTTATTGTTTTGTTTTCATTATTTTCAACTTGTTTTCTTTAAAAGACTAATGCTCGGTTTCACCAATCAGTTCTAAAATTTATCAGACTGGTAAAATTTAAAATGAGAAATTTTCCGAACAAAATGGTGTGTGTGTTTTAAATTTTAGCAGGCTAAAAGGCTTAAAATTTATTGGTGTAAAGGGGCATTCATTTTTTTAGAAAGTAAATTTTATACTTTGAAAATAAATTTGTAAGTTTAATAATTTTCATCATACAATCCAAGGCGAATTTATATAAGCTGGTGTTACTAGCTCAGCTGATTTTATGTATGTGTTTCGCACGGCTTCTGATATCAAATTGAAAAAATTTGTTTGAATTTCTACACACACTCTTACAGATTTTGACAGTTTATGCCGCCAAAGCAAAAACAAAATACATGTAAATTTTTGTTTTTGTACTCCTGCTATCACCTTATATTAATTCGCCTTGATACAATCCTTTTTAACAGATACACATATTCATTTTAATGAGTTTCATTTTTGAACCAAAATGTTTATATGTACATATGTATCACCATAAAATTTTCGACAACGTACTATACTATTTCAGTCTTTTCCTGCAGGGCCACTTCTATTTCTTCGTCGTCGTGGTGGTTCCAAAGCAATTGTGTTGTGTGGCGCTATGCACATCGTCAGCACCGTCTACCTGCCTGCTAGCCTGCCTATCAGCCTACAAGCCCACCTTTTGCTTTCCCTTTACATGCGACGCAGCTCACCTCGCCTGTTGCTATCGCCGCTGCCATTCCAGAGTCGTGCTGTGCGCTTTGAAGATCTTAATTTCGTTGCAATTTTCCGAATTCTGTTCCTGCTAGCGGCATTTTACTAACAAACATACCACACATACATATGTATGTAGTGTTGATACAAATGCACTTACTACCTTGATTTCTAACATTTCCATTTTCCTTTTATTGGCCACTTTGAAGCTGCTTTCCTTCGTCTCGACGGCATTCCGGCGTACTAAGGTTAGCTGGCTGATTGTCTATTCGTTGAATTGTTCTTCATTTCAGAGTAGATATTTATTTCTTCTGTCTTTCGTCATCGTCACTCTTGTTTGCTTGTTTTTCCGTCAATTTCTCGGTATTAAATACAAGTATCTGCACTACAAATTCGAATAGACGACGACGACGTCCTTTCGTTCCGCAGATTAGGCGATACTCAGTGGAATTAAGTCGTCGTCGTCGGTGTTGATTTTTGAAGGTAATTCTGCTTGCCGCTGCGGTGCATATGCACCTAACAACAGTGATGCACCTTCTTGCAAACGCACATTCGTGCCTGCATACATACATAGTACATATGTATATACATGAATAGTTAGTCTTGGTTATTGGTATTCCTCAAGCAACCGTCGGGGGTGCATTTAGTGTGTCAACGCCCGGATCTTCCATAATACATACATATTTACATACATATTTATGTGTGTACGTAAGACAATACGCATTCTGCGTACAAATTTCAATGCTTTGAAGTGTTGGTAATGTTCCGCACCATGTTGCTTCGTTATTCCATTGCCCTGGGAATACTACAATCCGAATACGAGGAATTTTTTGTTTGTACGTTAGCGCTGACACGATCGTTAGGTGGTCGATCATCCCTGTCACATCTTAGACAACTCATTTCAAATTGGCACAATGCGCATAATTGGAATTGTTTTTTTTTATTTCTTCCATGTAGCACCATTCTACTTTTTTCATTTGAAATAAAAAAATAATCTACGATTTATCATAAAATTGTGCAATTCCTTACATACATATATCATTACTGGTGTTCAGGGAGGAGATTGATGATGTTTTTATTTTTCAAAAAATAACATAGGGAAAAAATTGTCATACTGCTTTTTCGAATGTACATACTTATTATCGAATATAATTTTCTTCTAACTTAAAAAACTTTACTTTTTATATTTTGAAATTTCGATGTTTTTCAGATATTTTCGTGACCTCTCACAAATTTTCTGTCTTTTGACGCTGCTTTTGAGATTTCTCGGTACTTTTCGGATTTTAATGAAACCCTTTTATTTATGGAACAATCGCAGATTTGCCATTGCCTGCTAAAGGGCAATCGCTATTAGAAAATATTTTCATCATTTGGCTCTTCCGGATTCTACCGAGTGGTATTACGCACCCTTAACCACTCATTTGGCATCTAGCTGCTGTGCCACAAATGCGTAAGCCTACATTCGTATATTTACTTCGAATGCAAATTCTTTTCAGAAAAGTCTATTCATATACATATAATAGAATAGAATAATACTCTGAGCTTTTTTCATTGTCTGAAGAGCACAAATAGACCTTTTTTTTCGTGTGGCAAACATTTGTTGCTTCCATACCGGACATTGAACTTGGAATCCACATATCTATGTAGTCGCGCTCTATGAAAATGACTAGAGATATGATTATGCGTTGCCGCGCTATTAAGCCATAAGGCGGTCACACTTATAGCTGTCTGGAAAACGCTGCAATGGTCAGGGAGCCCTGAGGTCAAGCTGAGGTTTAGTGAAAGGTCTTTAGAGTAAAAATGGTGGTAGACCCTGGAACTAAGTCCGAACGCTTTACTCAGTCGCTTGTGTGTGGAATTCTGATAGAAAACCTACTGTTAAAGCAAAAAATTGGGCTGGTGTTTATGAAGGGTTGCTAAAATGGGGCGCAGAATTTTTGATCGACCGAATATAAGATCTCGATCTTAGTGGAATTGACCTTGACTCCGCTCTCCCTCGGTTAGCTATTCACGAGACAAAGAGCGGTGGGTAAAAGTGCGCTCAGTGTTTGGAGATACTTGCCCCTGACTGTGAGCGTAATATGACGTGACAGCCGCTATTCCGCAGTCTCAGGAGAATTGGATTTACTTTACCGTAAAGTTCCAGAGTAGGGG